GAGACAATTTAATAAGTAAAGTATTTTCCAAAAGCACAAAAATAATGAAGCTAAATCCCATAAAAGAGAAGAAAAAATGTTGAATTTTAAGAAAAACGGATTTTTGAATTTTTTCGAATTTTTGATAATTTTAGATTTATTACCAATGATTCGAGACAATTTAATAAGTAAAGTATTTTCCAAAAGCACAAAAATAATGAAGCTAAATCCCATAAAAGAGAAGAAAAAATGTTGAATTTTAAGAAAATCGGATTTTTGAATTTTTTCGATTTTTTGATAATTTTAGATTTTTTACCAAAGAGTCGAGACTATTAAATAAGTAAAGTATTTTCCAAAAGCACAAAAATAATGAAGCCTAATCCCATAAAAGAGAAGAAAAAATGTTGAATTTTAAGAAAATCGAATTTTTGAATTTTTGATAATTTTAGATTTTTTACCAAAGAGTCGAGACAATTTAATAAGTAAAGTATTCTCTAAAAGCACAAAAATAGTAAAGCTAAATCCCATAAAAGAGAAGAAAAAATGTTGAATTTTAAGAAAAACGGATTTTTGAATTTTTTCGAATTTTTGATAATTTTAGATTTTTTACCAAAGAGTCGAGACAATTTAATAAGTAAAGTATTTTCCAAAAGCACAAAAATAATGAAGCTAAATCCCATAAAAGAGAAGAAAAAATGTTGAATTTTAAGAAAAACGGATTTTTGAATTTTTTCGAATTTTTGATAATTTTAGATTTATTACCAATGATTCGAGACAATTTAATAAGTAAAGTATTTTCCAAAAGCACAAAAATAATGAAGCTAAATCCCATAAAAGAGAAGAAAAAATGTTGAATTTTAAGAAAATCGGATTTTTGAATTTTTTCGATTTTTTGATAATTTTAGATTTTTTACCAAAGAGTCGAGACTATTAAATAAGTAAAGTATTTTCCAAAAGCACAAAAATAATGAAGCCTAATCCCATAAAAGAGAAGAAAAAATGTTGAATTTTAAGAAAATCGAATTTTTGAATTTTTGATAATTTTAGATTTTTTACCAAAGAGTCGAGACAATTTAATAAGTAAAGTATTTTCCGCATTAAAAAGTTTGACATTAAAAAATAAAAAATGCCAATACTTAACCCACAAAATTTAATTTTCAAAACAAACAAATGAATGCAGATAATTTGCTAACGGAAAGGAACTTTACGATTATTATAATGTATTTTAACTGGAACTCATTTCTAAATAAATTTTTCTTAGAAAATTCGACTAGAATTTAATTATTTAAATACAAATAAAATGCAAATAAATAATTTATTGAATAATATTGAATGTTACAAAAAATTCAATTTCCATAAAGAATTTTATCAAAAAAATTTTTAAATAATTGAATTCTTTCGGCGAATTTAAAAAAAAATTAAATGCAATTTTCTGTCATTTTATTTAAAATTGTATAAAAAACAATTGAAATTATGCGATAAGTTTTGTTATTTAAGAAAATAATTGAATTCTAATAGCAACGAATTTTATTAAAACTTTTTTAAAGAATTAAATTCCTGTGAAGAAATTTATTTCTAAAAATAATTTAATTTCGGAGACAAATTTTATTTATGAGAAGGATTTTCTTAAATTTTTTTTTTTAAATATTTGAATTCTTTTGGAAAATTTTGTTAAAATAGTAGATATTAAAAATAATTGAAATTTTTCAAGAATTTTAATAAAATTTTTGTAAATAATTGAATTTTAAAGAAGAATTCAATTATTTCTAAAAATTGCAATTATTAGTAACTTCTAAAAAATTCAATTACTTAAAAATTTAACTGAAATTAATTTTTAAATAAATTTTTATTATAACATTCTACGAGAATTCAATTATTTAAATAGAAAAATAAATAAATTATTGAATAATTAAATGTTTCTTAAAAATAGAATTCTAATAAAGAATGTTATCAACAAAATGTTTAAATAATTTAATTTTTTCGACGAATTTTAATAAATTTTTAAAAAATAATTTCCATTTTTGAGAAATCCTATAAAAAGTTCATTAAAAACAATTGAAATTTTGCAATGAGTTTTATTATTTATGAAAATAATTGAATTATTACGAAAAATTTTATAAAAAAAAGTTTTAAACAATTGAGTTTTTTCGAAAAAATTCCTGCAAATTTTATTTTTTAATAATTTTCCTGTTAAATTTTCATTATTTTAGAAAATAATTAAATATTCGTGTATAGAACTTTGTCAAAATTATTTTTAAATAATTCAATTCTTTTGGGAAGTTTTATTAATATAATAGATATTGAAAATCATTGAATTGAGAAAAAATTTTTTAAAAATAATTCAATTTTATTAGGTACTTTTGAAAATAATTGAATTTCTGCAATAATTTGTAATTTCTCTAAAATTCTCCAAATTATATCGTACAGTTATAATAAATAGTAAATTATTTATTATTTACTAAATTTTACTATTTAAGTAGAAAAAAAGAAAGGAGATGAAGATAAAGAAAAAGAAGTAGAACGAGAAGAAGAAAAAGGAGAAAAAGAAGGGGAAGAAGAAGAAAAACAAGGAGAAGTTGAACGAGAAGAAGAAGAAGGAGGAGGAGGAAAAGAAGAAAAAGGAGTAGAAAAAGAAAGAGAAGTAGAACTAGAAGAAGTAGAAAACGGAGGAAAAAAAGAAGAAGTAAAAGAAGGTAGAGAAGGAGAAGTAGAACCAGAAGAAGAAAAAAACAAGAAGTAGAATGAGAAGAAGAATATGAAGGAAAAGAAGAAAGAGAAGATAAAAAAGAGAAGAAGAAGAAAGGGAAGAAGAAGAAGAGGAGGAAAGAGAAGAAGTAGAACGAAGAGAAGAATAAGAAGGAAAAGAAGAAAGAGAAGAAGAAGAAGAGGAGGAAAGAGAAGAAGTAGAACGAAGAGAAGAATAAGAAGGAAAAGAAGAAAGAGAAGAAGAAGAAGAGGAGGAAAGAGAAGAAGTAGAACGAAAAGAAGAATAAGAAGGAAAAGAAGAAAGAGAAGAAGAAAAAAAGAAGATACGAAAACGGTGCGGTAAATAAGAGATAAAAATTGTGTGGAGAAATGAAATCGGAAGGACACAAAGAGAGAGAGAAAGAGAGAGAGAGAGACGGGAACGGATTGGCACAGTCCGCAGCCGCCAAAGAGTCTGGCAAACGTAAAACCCACGGGTGCGGCCTCGAGGGCGCCGCGGTGTCGCAGACGAGACTCCGGGAGTCGGCTACATGACGTTGGATGCTGCGTAGTGCAAACGCAGCCAAATCTCACTCGACGACGAGGTCACGATGACAATTTTGTTATTCACCTCACTATCTCTCATACTTCCTGTTAAGGATTCGCAATAAGATTTTTCATTTTATAATAACATATTCCCCCTCTCACTCTCTCTCCATCAATTTTTTAAAGCAAAGAAAAGAAAAAGATTTTTAATCCACTTTTTTTTTCAATCGTCTACTGCAAAATACAGTCCTCTCACTATCTAATCTCCTCTATATAATTTATTGTCTTCTCGAGATATTCGCCGTTCTTTTTTTTCCCAACGCTCCTCGTTCAACGCTGTCTGCCAGCGCAAGTAGAGTTTTTGTTCCGACAAATAGTTACACAATCCATAATATTGTCATTTCAATCGTAATTATTTCTAATGCAAATTGTCCAATTTTCCATTGTTAATTCATTTATTTATTATTTATTATTATCGTTTTATTGTTTTTCTGTTATTTATTAACCATTTTATTATTTTTCTATTATTTATTAACCTTTTAATTATTTTTCTACTATTCATTAACCATTTTATTATTTTTCTATCATTTATTAACCATTTTACTATTTTTCTATCATTTATTAACCATTTTACTATTTTTCTACTATTCATTAACCATTTTATTATTTTTTTATTGTTTATTAACCATTTTACTTTTTTTCTACTATTCATTAACCATTTTACTATTTTTCTACTATTCATTTACCATTTTATTATTTTTCTATTATTTATTAACCTTTTAATTATTTTTCTACCATTTTATTATTTTTCTATTATTTATTAAAGATTTTATTATTTTTCTACTATTCATTAACCATTTTTTTCCTATTATTTATTAACCATTTTACTATTTTTCTACTATTCATTAACCATTTTATTATTTTTCTATTATTTATTAACCATTTTTCTACTATTCATTAACCATTTTATTATTTATTAATTACTAAGGTCAAAAATTAAGTTATAATTAATTTTTTTTTTTTTTGCAATATTTAATTTAAATTTAAAAATTAGTGATGCGAAAAAAAGAGAGGTGGGAATAGTATTGAAAAAAAGTGAATCACAGAAAGTTTATACGTTCTTTAACGATGAGTCGATCAACAGCGAATTATCAGGATTGGACACGTTTGCTCGTTATAATTCCTGACACGTACGACGCGAATAGAAAGAACGCATTGAAGGAATATATTGAAAGAAATGTTTAATAGAACGTCGTGCGATATCGACATTACAGGCAATAACACATAAACATAAAGTCTCGAATGTATTCCAAGAAGCTGTCAGATTCACTGTCTCTACCTTTATTCTCGTTTTATTTTCAAAAAAAAAAAATACTAAACAGTCAAATTTTCAATTACTTTTCCTCTGCATTTTTTTTCGACATTCAAAAGTCTCTCTTTTTTTTGCACTACTCGTAAAAATTGAATTCTTCTCTCCATTCTCTTATCCTCTTGCTCAATTCTCTCTCAAAACTTAGAAAATTTGAATTTCTCTCTCGTTTCTTCAAATTGAACGTAATTTATGTAGTCTCTTTAAAACTGTAAAAGGTATTTTCGAAATTTCCTTCTTGCATTCGGTTACTATAGGGCTAAACTACGTGCCTCTGGTATTTATTTTCGAATTTGGGTATAAAATTTCAGGTAGATTTCTACCTTACCGACGGGGGGATAAAATACCCATAAATATTAGAACAACGATCAGGAAATAAAAAAATTATATAAATATTAATAAAGAAATAAATATTACTCACTCTCCAACTCGTTCGCCATTCCAGCAGCTGTCGTCGGGATATTCCTCGCAAATATTGTCGGCGAGAGTTCCATAAAATGAGCGCGATCTAACGACGCTCGCCAAAAAATTGCCAAGTTGCACGTGCAATTGCGTTGACCATGATGTCCTGTGAGATGACGAAAACGCTTGCGGATGATTCGCTCCAATATTTATGTGCTGCTCCAACATTGATGACGACGACAATCGGCCGCTTTTTACTGTCGTTGCAGTCACACTTGACTCCAGGTCCTTCAACGGTTGGAATTCCGGTCGACCACAGGCGTTGCGAACCTGAAACATTTTATTTTCAATATTATTTTTTTTAAATTATTATGTTGATATCAAAAATTTAAAAACATTTTAAAATGACTAGTTTCAATTTGAAAAGGTTTCAATTTTAGAAAATGATTCGTTTTTTGTCTCAATTTGATATCCTCAGAAAAATTATATTATTATTCTTTTATTATTATTTATAATTCTCTCATTTCTAAATGTAAAAAAGCCTCTTTGATATTTACTGCAATATTCAATTTTCCATCATTAATTTCACGATGCACTCTCTATTCTTCTTTTTTTTTTAAATAAAATTCCATAATTCACGACAACATTAAAAAAAAAAAGAAAATCATCTCCTCGAGGTTATTATTCTTCCCTATATATTTATAATTATTTTTTACATTCTCATCAAGAATATAAAAATGATAATAATAATGAAATGGTACTTTTTTTATTGTTATAAATTGCTATGTAAAAGTTAGTGTCTTTGAGGGGTAGGGAAAAAAATACCATTATACTTTTATATAGGGCTCGATAAAAAAAGAAAATAGTGTGCGGATCAACTTGCGAGCGTGTAATAATGTTTTTTTTTTTCTTTCTCTCTCTTTTTTACCATTGTCAGTATTCGCGACAATAAAAATAAGAAACTTACAAGATTTTGCTATTTAATCTTGATGCGTGTGGAAAAAAACGATTTAGAAAAAATGGAAGTAAAAAAAAAAATGAGGAAAGAAATCCTTTCTTCGTACTCGACGATATTTATATGAGGCATTCTCACGTTCTTTTTATCAGGCGGTGAATGTGTAAGCTGGCCACGTGCCCTAGATAAGAAGGATCGTATTTCTTCAAACTCCCTGTAAATGCAAGAGATGATATACTTATTAAGATCAACGCGAATGCTCACACGCAAAAGGAGATAATTTTTTTTTTTTTTTTTATTATATCTTGAGATTTTTATACTTCGCCAATTTTCGCCCATCACGATTCGAAATCCTATAATTATAATTATTGCGGGAGAATTACGAGGGATTTCATTTATTTCATTATATTTGTGATAATTGTAAACGCAACTTTTTTTAAAATTCAATTTTTATTTTTGAAATATTTAAGTAAAATTATTCACTAAATAATTTCTAAGTAATAATTTTATGATTTTTCAAGAATTAAGCGTTTTAGAAATTATTGTCTTAGAAATTATTGCGTTTAAATTATTGTCAGAAATAGAAAACATTTTCTCTTAAACTGTTTTCTATAAAAACAAGTTATTATTTCCTTTTATTTCGAGAAGATCGTTAATTAATTTTTATCTAACACATAAAATAAAAATCGTTAATTAATTTTTAACTATACGTAAAATAAAAATCAATGGCAATTATTTAGTTCCCTCTCTTTCTCTCTCTCTCTCTCTCTCTCTCTCTCTCTCTCTCTCTCTCTATAACTGGTCTGCAGGAATGCAATTTAATTTTTTATTCGACAAGAGCAAAACATGAATTTTGTCCCCTTTACTTTGAGGACTGATGTGATAACGTCTCTCCCCCCTTCTCTTGAAGAACCTCATCCTGCTTTGCTTCTTACGCAACGGAAGGAAAAAGAGAATTATAGACCAAGAGAGTGAGAGAAAGAGAGAGAGAGAGAGAGGAAGAGAAGGGGGGATTACGAGAGAAGATGGAAAGCGCAAGGGAATTAAGTCTCATTTACCTTACTAAGCACATAATCCTTAAAGTTTAAGGCATAAACAGTAAACCGGCGGTTAGACCCTCGACGTCTAATTAAGACAGTGAGCGTGGGCGTGCAACCACTGACGTGGGTCGTCTTGGTCGCAGATTTCATTTTTGACTTTTTTTCTTATTTCTGCAACTCTCCCCCCTCTCTCTCATTTTCTCTCTTTCTCTCTCTCACTCTTTCCTCTCACACTCTCTTTTTCTCTCTCCCTCTCTCTCTTTTCTTTTTTTTTCTCTTCTCTTTTTTTTTCTCTCTCACTCTCTCTCTCTCTCTTTCGATGTGGTCTACCTCCGCGAAACAAGACGAACTAAAGAAGAAGAAGAAAAAGAAGAAGAGGAGAAGGAGAGAAAAAGTAGTCAACTCTGCAAGAGTTCCAACGGTGGGATAAAGAAAAAGCAAAAGATAAAGATAGACGATACCGTGAGCGCGAGTGTGCGGAGAGAGCGCTGACAGGCGCAAGTGTTGATTCCACTTGAAAATTAATCACTGTTGAAATTTTATTCCTTTTTTTCTCCCTCCGTCATTTGCTATCGTTTTATACAAATTTTTCTTCATAATCCACATATTTTTTATTTATTTATTCAATTTTTTTTTTTTTTTTAAATACGTGACTTCAAAATTAATGTCAGTAGAGAGTTGTGGAAATATGAAGAGCTCGCTATAAATGTGCACTAAATACATTTAACACATTTAAATTCCTTTAATTTATCTAAATTACTAATTAATTACTCATTTAATCTAAATTGAAATTAAATTAAAATCTATAAATTAAATAAAACTAAAAAAAGTAAAAATAATAATAATTACAATAATAATTATAATAATAATTATATATTTTTTTTTTGTTAACAGTCAGTTTTTGGATCTTAATATAATTTTTAAAAAAATAATAATTATAATTATAATAATAATTATTAATTAACTATTATAGTTTGGATGTTCTTTCATTCATTCACTTTTTCTCTTCCTCACACTATGAAGTTGTCTTTTGTTTATACTTTTGTTTTTTGTTAACTTTAGATAGATTGTATATTATATTATTATGTTATAATTATTTTTATATTTTACAATTAATTCAAAATTGTAATGACAAATAGAAATCATCAGAATTTTTTTCACTTCTTTTCATTAAAAGACTAAAATTTTGTTAAATATTATGTTTTTGTCAAATTGAAATTACGCAGATTTTTGTTCTTTACTTCTAAGGAAAATTAGAAATTTGTTAAACAACTGGAATTAAGAAATAGAAAATTTATTTATTTTGCACTATTTTTGTTTATGAATCACAATTTTTTTTAAGAAAATTATTATTTTGTTTTAGAAAAAGAAGAAATTTGCACAATTTCTATTTTTAATCTTATTTTTGGAACAGGATTTTCCACAGGAATTAAGATAAAAATTTTAAGTCAAAAATTTCAAATTCAAACCTTTTTTAAATTAAACAATTTATAAAAGTATTGTTATAAAACATGAAGACATCGATTGCTCCGAGTCGAAGACTCGGAGTGATCGATTTCTTCATGTTTTATAATAAATTAAAAATGACCGAGAGATAAAATTATTTTCATCATTTTAATTCAATTCTTATTTTCTATAATTTTAAATTATTTTTTACGAAAATAATTGAATTTCTTAACAAAATTTTATTATTTATAAAAATAATTAAATTTCTGTGATATTTTTATTATTTATGAAAATAAATAAATGTTTGCATACAATTTTATAAAAATTTTTTTTTAAATAATTGATTTGTTCTTGAGACAAATTATTTTCATCATTTTAATTCAATTTTTATTTTCTAGAATTTAAAATTATTTAAAATAATTGAATTCCTTAAAAAATTTTATTATTTACGAAAATAATTGAATTCCTTAAAAAATTTTATTATTTATGAAAATAAATGAATTCCTGTGAAATTTTTATTATTTATGGAAATAATTGAATGTATTCAAACAATTTTATAACAATTTTTTTTAAATAATTGAATTCTTTTTAGGAAATTTGATTAAAATAGTAGATATTGAAAATCATTGAAATTAGAAAAATGCATATTGTTTTTGAAAATAATTGAACTTTGGAGAAGAATTTTGTTATTTATAAAGATAAAAATTAATTTCTAATAATAATTGAATATCAAAAGGATTTTATCGTGAATATTTAGAAACAGTTGAATTTTGAAAAAGTTTAAAATTTAAATCTTTGAAAATTAAAATTTTCCTTATTTCTTATAAACAATTCGGTAAAATTAATTTTTTTGAAAATGATTAATTGAATTCTTTTTCAAAATTATTATTTTCTTAAATAATAATATTCTTTTTAGGAATTCTATTATAATCATATTTATATGAATAAAACTCATCGCAGAATTTCAATTATTTTTAATACCAAAAATGAATTTATTTTTAAAAATTTTATTAAAATTTGTCCAAAGAATTCAATTATTTAAAAAATTAGTTGATGCCATAATTCTTTATCAGAATTCAATTTTAAGAAACATTCAATTATTTAATAAATTATTATTTATTTCAGTATTTAAATAATTGAATTCTCGTAGAGTCGTTTTCCAATAAAAATTGATTTAAAAATGAATTTTAGTTAAAATTTGAGATAATAATTAAAAATTTAAAGCATTATAACGCGAATTTTTAGAAACAGTTAAGGGCATTTGAACCATGATGACGTCACAGATTTAAAACTAATGCTTTGCACAAACTGTGACGTCATCAAGGTTCAAATCCCCTTAAATTTTGAAAAGGTTTCAAATTAATATCTTGGAAAATTCGAATTTTTCATATTTTTAATTAACAATTCTGTAAAATTAAATTTTATGAAAAAGTTTGATTGAATTTCTTTTTTAAATTATTAAAATATAGAAATAAATTACGTATTCAAAAATAAAAAATTTATTTGAATAATTTATTAATTCTTAAAATTAAATTCTTATATTATAGAACTTTATCAAAAATTTTTTTTAAATAATTGAATTCTTTCGATGAATTTTAATAAAATTGCATTTTTCGAAAAAAACATTTAAAATTATATTAAAAATAATTGAAATTAAATTAACTTGATTCTATAATTGAATTCCTTTGACAATATTATTATTTATGAAAACAATATTCAAAATAAAAAAAATTTTGTAAAAATACAAATTCGATTATTTTGAGGAAAATTTAAGTTCGAACGAGGATTATTATTAAAATTGTAGGTACTGAAAATAATATTGAATTCTTCTAAATTGTTTATCACAATTTTCAAAAATAACTAAATAAGTGAATTCTATCAACAAATTT